CAGTAAAATTTCTCCTGCGGTTTCGGAACTTTCCCACGAGTCCTTCATGGGATTTTCCAACGATGCTGTGCAGCGGTGGCAAAGACAGACTGCCAGGTCTGACTGATAAACTATAGCAGTCGTTTACTGGGGGCGTTGCGACCGTCTATTCTAAATCTACTTCCCAAATCTGCTAACGATTCTCTGAAGAAGGTTCTGAACAAAGTGAGGGTAAAGTACCAGAAAACAGGCTGCTCAAAAGCAGGAAGCGTCAACAAATCGAATATCGTCTGCTATCGCGTCATGCGGCTGGCCTCGACCACCATATACCACATGAGGTATATTACCACATAAGATACCTCATGTAATAAATATACTCGTCCAGTAGTTACGTTCAGCAGCAAAAACCTTGCTTCCATTGAGCGGGGGGGGGGCGAGTTGACGTTTTTCACCTCACTATTGGGTCAAGTGGGAGTACACCTTTGTTTCTAAACCCTTTGCCTACAAACTGTAATCGTTAAACGTGCCTTTAGGCATTTAAGGGGTTCCGATGTTAGGGATCAGTACAAAGAAGTCAATTTACTCAAGGAACTCATAATAAAAACAGAGTTTTCATAAAAACACCAAAATCATGACCCTCTCCAGAGCACAGCGCCTACCTGAGCACTATCGTCATGTTTCTTTCCCCTTGGTTTTCGTCCACGTGTCGAATTCATTCGATGAGCATTGAGTCGGTCAATCATCTCCACACGGCTCATGCCCATTACTGACGCTCGCATACTTTCCAGCTTCCGGTCCCACTCTGAAGCTAACAGTAAGCTACTTTGGAAAATCGTTACTGAACATGAGTAGGAGCGCGCGTGAAACAAGTATTGATATCGCCGGCAGGCTGAAGGTACTGCTTTCACTAGACGCTTGTACACGATTCGTGGCTCGGTAGTAACTCTCTATATTCACAAAAAACAAAAAATTATTTTTGGGGCAACCTTATACATAAAACACGTCACAGTATAACAGTGAGATAGTTCATCACGCGGAAAAGGAAGCTTGTTAGAGCCAAATACTGAATGGAACGTGCACCCCACTCCCGTGGAAATTGCGAAAAGGCGCGTAGCTGCTGGACAAGATCTAGGAAAAAGGAGAGTCAGGAAGGGAGTATAGAAGGGTCGCCAAGACGCTCATATGCCCTCCGGCTCCGCTCATCCGACTTCACGTCATACTTGTCCTCCGCTCGAAAACCCGAACAGAGAAAATTCCAGATTTAGCATATACAAAAAATAGAAGATTTGATGTCTCCAGCTCACCTTTCAGATCCTTACAGTCGGGCGCTGGATGACAAGTGTTGAGGTGCCTTTTCATATTACCCTTGTAGATGGTCACAAACTCACAGCTATCGCAAATATAAGCGTCCTGAACAGAGCAAAGGATTTTCACAAGTTACTTGTTCATCAGTTTTGAGACACACTATTATTTCAAAACAGTGTTTTAGCAGCATGAGATGCAAATGGAGGTTTCTCAGAGTATTGAAGTGGCATCGGTTCCTCTAGTAATTAGTAGTTTTCTAAACGAATCACTTGAAGCCAACCATTACACGCAGAAGGGGAGTATTATTTGGAACCGCAAAGCTAAGCGGCAGGTTGCGCATCGTAAATCGCTAAGACAGCGTTCAGACTTTGAGATGGCGCGCGTCAACGAGCTGCAGCGGGCTACAGCACGCTACAATGCAACAGCGCTCCGACCCTAAAGAAGAAGCACAGCCACAGCCGGAATACCGATTAACGCCGCCTGTGTGTTGAGAGAGTATGGGGAAACTTTATTGCACATTTAGCTTAATTATGTAGCCTGGTATTGACCAGCACTTACCGCTAGGGCGGCGATCAATTCCAGTCTGCATCTGCTTTCGCGCTAATAGGAATTTACCGCTGCTGCAACTGTAGCGCATGACAGTGTGTCGACCCGCGTCATCGCGAACTCTATCTGCGATTGTTATCACAAGAGTGCTGAGGGAGACGAACCCGCACCTCGCGCTTACCGGGCGAGCGCGCTATCCGTTACGCCACCAGGGCCGCTTACGGCTGACCGGCTCACCAAGTTAAACGTGTGAGTGCTGTAAGGTTACGGCATAAGCCGTTAAGCTGAGAGGGTAAAAGCCCTGGTGGCGTAACGGATAGCGCACATTGGGACAGGCGCGCCGCGGCTAGCCATGGCTGCCGAGCGAGCAATGGCGATCGCGCAGGCAAGCGTGAGGCTACGGTTCGAATGCAGGCCTGGAGGCCTCGACTGTTTCGCCGCACAAACCCAGCATTCTTGCATAACATATCGGAACGGCGGTAACTGCGGCGTTACAACAGCAATATCATAACAAAACACGCTTCGTCTGCGATGTTCGTAATTGGTCGGAAAACCAAATTCTTCGCCAAGAGCGTGTCATTGTCCTGGGTGGACCAGTCGCCGCGCATTTTGTCCGAACCTTTGATAAAAAACGAGCAGTCCTTTCGATCTCTCATGTCGCGGAAGTAACACGCGCCCCCTCCTTTGCAATCAGTTAAGGTTTCTTAACCATGGGAAAAGTGGAAATGTACGCGAAATGCAAAGGATCTAGTGACAGTCCTGTGCTCAAGTATTACAAGAGCGCTGAATTATGGGCTGACGCCTCAACGAGAGTCAAAGCTGCACCTCGAGCATCCAAGGCATGTGCGGTACCCATTCCGCCAGCGAGGCTGACCGGCTCTCAGCCATAAACCTGTGATAGTTGCTGTAAAGCTGTGGCACAAAAGCCACTGAGCTGGGAGGGTAAGAGGCGGCTTCGGTGGCGTACCTGAGAGTGCTTTCGTTTGATGGTTACCGGAGCACGAACGATGTGCGAAAGTTGAAGAGCAGTTGCCATAACAAGGTACCATGCCGCCACAGTTTTTTGAGGGTATATGGTGCGATTTCTCTTACTTTCTGGTGAGTATCCACTACTACGCGGGCTCAGAGAACAAGACTGTTTCTTGTTAAAGATTTTGAAACAGATCCGCTGATCAACTGATTTCATTTGATTTTAAACAGAAGTTCAGGATAACACTTTTGAGCTTCCGGTTTTCTTTAAACTCTAATTAATTACTAGAACAACTCTAAATTCTAACCTCAGGTGGGTCGGCTTCCTTTCGTGGACCACCTGGTGGTGACGGGTCGCTGGGCAGTTGAATTAGCTGAAAAATGTTTTTGAATATCATGCTTCTTTTC